GGAGCAGAGTCATGAGCAATTTGCACACCCCCAGGGGGGGAACGTCGATAATGCCGGCCTTGGGGGGGGGGGCGGGGTGGGCCGGTAGAGTCCATATTTTTTTTTCCAGAGGAGAATCTCTGTTCAGCGGTGCAATTAGTCGTTGTTCGCAGCGAGTTGCCTGCTCCACTGCCCCCGCAAATATCCCGCCCGCTCGCCCGCGGCTTGGTTGCCAAATCGCACGCGGTGGCGACTGCGACGGCTGCTCGGCGCTGGCTGGCGCATCGCCGCGTCCACGAACGCGCGCGCCTGCTCGCGCGCAGCGCGGCCGGCTAGGCCGGCGCGAACGACGCGGCCACGGTGGCGCGGGCCGCTGGGGACTCCCCAGCGAGTCTCGCAGGCCGCGCTGGCGCCCGGGCAAGTCAGCGCGCATCGGCGACTCGGGCGGGCGCGGCGTCGCGGCGACGTCGACAATGACGGGCTCGACGATGATTGCAACGATGCATGCGACGACGATGGCGACGGCAAGGGCGGCGACGGCGCCGACGCGGATCGCGCCGATGACGGCGATGCGTCCGCGCGTCGGCGACGAAGGCTGCGGCGCGGACTGCGACGCGCGCGCGCGGCCGACGGGCGCGGCCCGCCCGCGCCGCGCAACTCGAGCGGGATCGCGCCCCTCTCGCCCCCCGCGCGCTTGCAAGAGCATTCGAATGATTTCCACGCGCGCGCGAGACGCGCCCTCGGTCGAATTCGGTGAACGGATCGAAAACATAGTAGCGGTTTCCCCTCGCATTCGGAAGAGTGCGCGCGCGGATTTTGCGGGGACAGCCACGTTGCAAAGCCATGTGTTCTTATTTGTTTTCGGGGAAATCGATGTCGACCGCCTTTCGAAACCTAAGGTTGGTACGGTTGTTGAAAGATGTCGGGGCATGTGCGCGCGACGACGCGGGCGCGCGCGCTTCGCCGCATGTTTTCTTGCAACGGGCCCTTATGAAACTGAAGACTTCTGATGAGCGAAAGTGCGCAGCATTGCGCGACGCGGAGGAGGGGGGTGGGCCCATGACGAGAATGTTTTGGACGGCGTGCGTTCATATTTTGGATGGACGAGCGCGCAGAACCATGCGCGAACAAAAACACAATGAGAAAAGGTGACCCGTTAAACCGGGGGGGGGGGAGGGAAGGGGGTATTTTCTAGAGAGAATCCATGGAAAGCAATGCCCGCGATGCGCTCGATCTGGCGCAACTCACCTCGCCGAATTGGAAGCGCCCTAGCGTAATCATCCCCCCCCCGCCCACCCGCAACTTGGTTTGCCAAACCCACGCGGGTGCGATTGCGATGACTGCTCGGCGCTGGCTGGAGCGTCGCTGCGACCGCGCTAGCGCGCGCAGGCTCAGGCGCAAAGCGGCCAGCAACTCTGGCGCTACGGACGCGGCCGCGGCGGCGCTGACCGCCGGGAACTTCTCGGGGCGTCTCGCGGGCCTCGCTGACGCGCGGGCACTTCAGTACGAGTCGGCGATTCGGGCGGGCGCGGTATCATGGCGACGTCGATAACGGCAGACACGATGATGATAGTAGCGATGCTGGTGGCGATGATGACAACGACGCTGGCAATGGCAGCGACGGCGGCCATGCCGACCACGCCGATGACTATCATGCGTCGCCGATGAGGGTTTTGGGCGGGTTTCGACGCGCTTGCGCGGCCGACGCGCGCGAGTGGTCCGCGCGGCATTACTTAGGAGAGATCGCGCCCCCCCCCCCCCCCCCCCCCCCCCCCCCCCCCCCCCCCCCCCGCACGAGCGTAAGAGCGTTCAAATGAATTCGACGCGCGCGCGAGGGGCCCGCTTGGTCGCATTCGGTGAAATAGTTGGAATACGTACGGTTCGCATGAGATCTCGAAATGCCGCGCGTGCATCGGTATATTTGTTGGGGGGGAACTCTTGCTGCCAAGCCACGCATGTTTAAATGTTTTTCCAGGGCGCTCGATTTTGAATTCCTTACGGCGCCCAGGATTGTTTAAGGATTTTAGCATGCGCGCGCGACGACGCGCGCGTGCTTCGTCCCATGATTTGCAAAAGGATCATGACCATCTCATGACGCTTGATAAACGAGTGCGCGCGCAAAATATCTTTTAACAAGGAGGAGGGGGGCGTCCATAACCGGAATGCTTGGAATGGTATGATGTAATATGTAGGATGGACGAGTGCGCAGAATCAAACGTGACCCTTTAGCCCCAAGGGGGGATATTGTTGTTTTGGGGGAAACGGGAATACATGTTAAGCAATGTACGTGTTTTTTTTCTATTCGGTGCAATCACCGAGCCGAACTTGAAGTTGTTGTCTCTACTGCTCGACCAATCATCCCACCCACCCACCCGCAATTGGGTTTGCAAAAGGCACGCGGCGGCGATTGCGATGATTCCCTGGCGCTGGTTGGAGCATCGATGCGGCCGCGCTATGGCGCGCAGGCTCGCGCGCGCAGCGGCTGGCCAGTGTGGCGCGACCGACGCGGCCGCGGTGGCGCTGACCGCTGGGGGATTTCCCATCGCGAGTTGCAGGCCGCGGTGACGCACAGGCCTGTCAGTGCGAGTCGGTGATTCGGGCGGGCGTTGTATCATGGCGACGTCGGCAACGGCAGACACGATGATGATATATGGGCGTTGTTAAAGTTTGTGTGTGTTTTTTGCCGTCGCGGCGCTGACGGCCGTTGTGGTACGGTGAGAGCATCGAACAAGGAACCATTGGATCAGAAAGCCAGGGTTTGGAATACGGTGGAACTCCAATCGTGGATTTGCTATGGATGTCACCGCCGCCCTCATCCGATGAGAGATCCTCGTGGGTCTGACTCGTCATGGGCACATTCCTTGCCCAACGCCCTTATCGTATCAGTTGGCGTTTCGTTCAACTTTCGTTGTGTTGTGGCGGTGGCTGCACCAACATAGAACCAGTACTACCTGAATCCAACAACGCCTGACCACATTGACTGTGAGCACCCAGCCGCCTGTGAACGCATCTCCAGCACGCAGGACGCAACACTACGGTAGAGGGAAGGTACATTGAAACGAGCACGCATTCTGGGGAGCGCGGAGGGGGGCGTGGATGAGGACGAGGATAAGGAGGAGGAGGAGGAGGAGGAGGAGGAGGAGGAGGAGGAGGAGGAGGAGGGAGGCGGAGGAGGAGGAGGAGGAGGGCCGATGAGCGCCGAGGAAGGAGAAGGAGGAGTCCAGAGGACTGGTTATAGGGGCGCCGAGGAGTGCAAAGGAGGAGGAGGAGGAGGAGGAGGAGGAGGGCCGAGGAGGAGTGGGAGGAGCGCCGATGAAGGAGGAGGAGTCCAGAGGACTGGCGAGGAGTGCCGAGGAGCGGCGCCTCCTGCGGAAGCCTCGGAACTTCCGGAGACCTCCGGAAACCTCTGCGGGCCATCCGAAAGCCTCCGGAGATTTCTGGAAACTCTGGAGGCTTCGGAGAAGCCTCGGGAGACTTCCCGAAAAACCTTTGGAGACCTCCAGGGCGTCTGGAGCTATCCGTAAACCTCTGGAGGCTTCCGAAAACCTCCGGAGACTTCTGGAGACCTCCGAAGACCTCCGAAATCCTCCGGAGATTTCTGGAAGATGGAGGGAGGGAGGAGGGAGGAGGGCGCAGGATGAGGGAGGAGGAGGGAGGAGGAGGGAGGAGGAGGGAGGAGGAGGGAGGAGGAGGAGGGAGGAGGAGGAAGGAGGAGGAGGGAGGAGGAGGGAGGAGGGAGGAAGGAGGAGGAAGGACGAGGAGGAGGAGGAGGAGGAGGAGGAGGAGGAGGAGCAGGAAGAGAAAGAGGAGGAGCAGGAGGAGGAGGAGGATGTGCCGAGGAGGCCCTGCGAGAGGACTGTGGCGCAGAGCTGGCGGTAATGCTGATGACACACACACAGACACACCACGACGACGAGCACGACTTTCGGCAAGGGGTTTTTGAAAACTGCTGGTTTTTGGAAAACGACTGTGCGCGCATTGCTCTCTTTCGACGGGGATGAGGGGGGGGGGGGGGGACGAGAAGGGGCTTGGCGTCGAAACGCGAAGCCCAAGGACGGGGGGGCGGCTGATTTCAATTCCTTTTTAGCAGGAAACCAGACGGCGACAGGGTGGCGACGGCGACCACGGAGCCGCCAGTCCGGCACCCAGGTCCAGACGACGGGTGGCGACGGGGCGGCGACGTCGACCACGGAGCCGCCAAACCGGCGGCCAGGCCCAGACGACGGGCGGCGACGAGGCGGCGACGGGCGGCGACGGCGATCACGGAGCCGCCAGACCGGCAGCCAGGCCGAGAAGACGGGCGGCGACGAGGCGGCGACGGGGCGGCGACGGCGATCACGGAGCTGCCAGACGGGCAGCCAGGCCGAGAAGACGGGCGGCGACGAGGCGGCGACGGGGCGGGGAATACGAAATATGCACTACAAAGTTATGGGAGACCATGTTGGCGACCGTGCAGGAGATCAGAGACCACGAGCCATGACCAAAGAGCACAACCAGAGACCGAGACAACGATCAGAGACCACGAGCCATGACCAGAACCAATGAGCCACCGACTTCGGATCACGCAGAGCACCCACGCGCGTTAGAAACCAGAGATCGGACCCACGCAGGTCAGCTGCTTAGGTGTTTGAGTGAGTCGGGGTGTCTGGGTTCTCTCTTGAGATCCTTCTCTTGGGGCTCTCCTGGGGTCTGTTGAGACCTCTTGAATTCTGATTGGGGCCTCTTGGGTCTGTTCGGGGAGCTCGCCCACCCCCTCCTCCGCTCCCTTCCTGTGTAACTCGACGTGGGGACTTCGCCCCCCGCACCTGTCCGCGGCGCACCTGCTCCTGCACATCCACTTCGGCACCGCCTGCACCCCTGGGCTTCGCCCAATCCGGCCGCCTGAGGCCCCGCCTTCCTGTGCCCGGTCTCCCTAATTAAAGCTGTGCGTAGCCCGCCTAGCTTTTAGCGGAAGAGGTTCGCTCTCGCCCCGCAGACCAAAAAGTGTAATTCGACGTCGTGGGCCTAACCAGCAAGCGGAGGTCGGCGGATTTACACGCAAGCGAAGTTGGCGAGGGAGTCTGAGGGCAAGGACCCCCGAAGGGCGTTGATTCCTGTTGCATGGTCTCTAGTTTTCGGCATCTTGGGGCTGATTGGCATGATGATGAAGATTCGACAGGTCAGCTTCTGCACAGACAGGGAGCCGTGGCAGTGGAACGGTAAAGAGATACTGATGTTCATTGCGTTCTGCAACAATGTCGGTGGCATCGTAGACACCAAGATGGAGCGCATGGACGCAGTCTTGGTCTTGCTGTTCGGCGGCGTGGACGCCGAAATCGTGCCCGAGGAGCGTGGCCACGCGAACGAAGTGTATGACCAGATCTTTGAGGCCATCTGGGTCTGGAACAACAGCAGGGACGTGGACGAGGAGGAGGGGCTCAGCGGATTCGACAGGCTTGTCCTCGCTTTCACTTTCGGCGGCGCGGACTTGCAGAAGCTGCTGGTGGAAGAGCTGGAGTACGAGCCTCCGCCCACCGACGGTGGCGAGGGCGGCGAGCGGCAGACGCCTCAGGCGCGGACGCTGGGGAGCATGCCGTTCAGCGGGGGCCTGCGCAACTACGCGGGCGTCGCGCAGGCTCATCTTTGAGTCTGCCGCAGGTGTCGCTGCAGAGTGCGCACCGCAGGGGTGATGCGGCAGCCGCAAGGGCGCGGGCAGCAGCCCGAACGTACAACCTCAATCTCACCTGGAGCGCCGATGGTTGAAAACACGGTCGTCCGTGGAAGGAAATGCCTCCTGCGTGTGGGCGTCGCGCCCACTTTGGCATACCGGGGCCCGCTCCGTTGTCCAAGCCGATGCACGCTTGAATCTACACGCACGCACTCCCAACAAATTCCACTGCCACTCGAAATCCGAGTGAGCCGCAACCGCCGAGACGACACTGGCCGTGAGCGCATTCGAGAACACACGGCATCGGAGGAGGTTCGAAGCCCTCGCTGCCGCACATTTGCGCAGGTCGTGCCGGGCACGCGTCGTCTCGATTGCTTCCAATGTCTGTGGCCGGCCTGAAGCCAGGGGTAGTCCCACGCATGGGTTTGGAACTCAGGGCTGGCGTAGCGGTGCTAGCCACCAACAGCCCCAATGGTGTCCCTGGCTGTTCAAAGTTGGCGCGAAGCTGGCCCGAGTTGCCCCCAGCAGCCCGGCGGAGCCTCCCTGGAGGAGTGATGCCGAAGGAGCCCTGGACCATTGTTGCGCGAGTTTGGATTGGCGTGGGCCTGGGCCACCTACGGCGCCGTTGGCGGGCTGATGACGACTCGGGGGCCCAGAGTGCACCTCGCGTGGTTCATGAGCCTCACGTAACCTGTCTCTCGGACTTTCTGGTTTGTTTTGGGCCGCTCTCTCGCTCTCCTCCCTCCCGCTCTGCATGTGCTTATTTGTTGGTTGTTCGTTCCTCGTGCCGCATTGGTGGTCGCCGTCTCGTTCCTCCATCTCACGTATCAGTGCCATGCTCAAGCCATGAATCCATTCGGGGGGAATAGGAACAGGGTCAGCGCGCCAGAGACGGGGGCACAGCAAACGGGGGCACGGGGAACGCCGATTTTCACGTTTGGCTATGCCCCCGTTTAGGGAGCCTTGGGCGCCGTAGACGGGGGTACAGTAAACGGGGGCAGATGGAAAAACCCTAAGCCCCTGTTTAGCTAAACCCCCGTTTAAGAAGCCCCGACAGGGTGGGCCACGACATCATGCAGCTGGCTTCGGCCCCGCCGCCGGGAGCGCTCTCCTCGACACGCGGGCGCTCCTGGAGGCGCTGGAGACATCGGCGGTGCGAGTAAAGCTGCGCGAGGGCGACGAAGTGGCGGGTCGCTGCTGGGGCGAGGTCGTGGCAGCCAGTGCTTCCTCCTGTTTTTGTCCGCGGTGCTTCCCCGCGGTTTTGTGCCGTCGGTCGTCGCGCGGCTGTCCCCGTGAGTTGTCTTCGGGGGTCCCGCGGGTTGTCCCGTGGGATGTCCCGTCGGTTGCCCTGTGAGCTGTCCCGTGGGTGTCCCGAGGGTTGTCCCGTGGTGTAGAAGTCCTCTGGTTTGTTCCGTTGTGGACCCGCGGGGGATGCACATGGAATCTGAGTCGCATGGACAGAGATAGTCAAATCGAACTGCGAACCGAACTGCACGACAAATTGGAAGTAGCATGGCACATCGAAGTGAATGTCGATATGTACATCGTAATGCGCATGCAATGAATTGTGATCTGTACATCGAGACGTACATTGATATTCAAATCGATTTGCAATCGTGCAGATCGAATTCGAGTCTAATTATAATCGACATGCAAATCCAACCTGAATCGAAATTCACGTCGATGTAAATCGACATGAAAACCAAAATGACGCCCTTTCAAACCTCCTCTTCTTTCTCCTCTTTGAGCGAGCGAGACAGTCGAGCGATGCCATGGACATTCAGAGTGTCGCTCGGTGGGCTACCGCAGGGATGCCGCACGGGCGATGCCTTGGCTCCAGGGGCGTCTTTAACATTGAGAGCGGACGCGCACGCTGAAATGGGATGTATCTTCATTTTTTCGAAGGGCCCGGGAGATGTCACAACTACCAATACGAAAGTCGGGGGCGCGGGGGGGGCAGCAGTGCCATCCGATTCGCGGCTCAACCCGAAATGGTGCAAACCTTTTTCCTTCAACAGCGTGAGGGGGAGGCGGGAGGATCAGCTGGTCGGAGGAATGATGCCAAGTGCTGCGTGAGGGTCGCACCACGGGTCACAGCGTGGTTCGCAGACGAGCACGGGCGCAAGCTCTCGGAGCTTCGCGCGGATTGCTCGGATCGGCGCTGTGCCCCCGTGGCGGCGCCTCCCGCGCCGTACCCGGCGCGCCCCACGCGCCGGGAAGGGGGGTCCAAGCGCCGACTCGGAAGCCCACGCCGACCCTCACGTGCTTCCCTTTGTGCGGTTCTTGCCTCCCTTGGCGACACGCCGCGAGCCTGGGTCGACCCCATCCAGGAGATCCACTGCTGTTGGTTTCTAAATGTCCATCGAGCATGCGCCAAATCAACCCCCAGTGGCACGCCGCGAGCTTCGTTCACGCCCATCCAGGAGATACACTACTGTTGGTTTCTATGTCCATCGAGCATGCGGTAGATCATGCGAGCAGGGCGTACGTTGGCGCGCGCCCAAGACGTAAGGTCTCTTCACGTTGGGTGTCCGCTCAGTGTGCCTCCTTGAGCTGCGCAAGAAGCTCGATGATCCCCAAAACTCGTAGAAATCGTTTTCTTCATGTCAGAACTTGACAATGTGATTCAGTGATGATTCATCCCCTCCGTGACAGAAGGGCTCGCCACGAAACGGTCTGTGATCCACTCCGTCGCAGGCGCGCTCGCCTTGTTTGTTGTCATCGTGGTCGTCGTCGTGCTGCTGCTGCTGCTGCTGCTGCTGCTGCTGCTGCTGCTGCTGCTGCTGCTGCTGCTGCTTTGCATCCCCTCTCGTCTTGCCTGTCTCTCTCCCCTTCCTTCTCCTCGTCGTCCCTGACCACATGGAGGCCTGTGGCCTCATGCCACGCACGCCTGGGATGCAGCGCCCTATCACTGGTGGTCCTGGAGTTGCTACCGCGCCACTGCGGAGCGCGCGCAGGCCAACACGTGTCCCATCTGCCGCTTCGAGCTTGCCACGGACAGCCAGGAGTACGAGGCCGTGGGTGGGGAAGCCACCAGGGCACCAATGCCGCTGCCCCCCGGATGCGCTCTGACCAGCATTTCCAGGCGAATCTAGCGGTGGCGACGAGGGCCTCCCAGGAGGCCCCCCAAAGGGGAGAACGGCCGCAGGGTAGAGGTACGGTCGAGGGAAGAGATAAAGCAACACTCCCCCCCATCCCCCGCAATTCAAAGTTGGCACGTTCTTGGAAGACCACTCGGAGGCCCAGTATCGGAAGATCCGAAACCAACATTGCATCTGGGGGGGAGGGGCGGGGAAGTTCAAACCATCTGTTCTGCACGAGTGTTGCTTAATTGTTTCCGACACCTGTACATATGGGTACCCACACATGCGACGTCCCGATTTTTTCGAAATTGGGTCCCTGGAAGTTCCGACCCTTTGCCTGGGCCTGTTTTTTTTTGTCCTGAATCGTTTTTTGACGCTCCCGAGGCCCGGCAAGGGCCCCCGTAGGCCGAAAACGGCCCCAAATTTTCTGCGTTGATTCCCAACCATCCTGTGGTGTTGGGTCCTTGTTTTGAAGAGACGGTCCCCGCGTTCTTCTCCTCTCCTCTCCTCCTCCTCCTCCTCCCCCTCCTCCTCCTCCTCCTCCTCCTCCTCCTCCTCCTCCTCCTCCTCCTCCTCCTCCGCCCTCCTCCATCACAATCATCATCATCATCATCATCATCATCATCATCATCATCATCATCATCATCATCATCAGCATCATCATCATCATCATCATCATCATCATCATCATCATCATCGTCATCGTCATCGTCATCGTCATCGTCGTCGTCATCGTCATCGTCATCGTCATCATCTTCATCAGCATCAGCATCAGCATCAGCATCAGCATCAGCATCATCATCATCACCACCACCACCACCACCACCACCACCATCATCATCATCATCATCATCATCATCATCATCATCATCATCATCATCATCATCATCATCATCATCATCATCATCATCATCACCCGTGTCAGCACACCCTCACACGTTTCGTGGCCCCATGGGGAGCTCCACCTAACGCCCCAGTGGGACCGCCCGCATGCGTCACGCACCACCCAGTACAGCGCTTCGTGGCACCATAGGGAGCTCCACAGACGGGCCCAGTGGGACCGCCCGCATGCGTCACGCCCCACCCAGTACAGCGTTTCGTGGCCCCATAGGGAGCTCCACACAGGGCCCCAGTGGCACCGCTCGCATGTGTCACGCACCACCCAGGACAGCGCTTCGTGGCCTCATAGGGAGCTCCATCGAAGGTTCCAGTGGGACCGCTCGCATGCGGCACGCACTACCCAGTACAGCGTTTCGTGGCCCCATAGGGAGCTCCACCGACGGCCCCGATGGGACCGCCCGCATTCGTCCCGCACCACCCAGTACAGCGTTTCGTGGCCCCATTGGGAGCTTCACCGACGGCCCCAGTGGGACCGCTCGCATGCGTCACGCACCACCCAGTACAGCGTTTCGTGGCCCTATGGGAGCTCCACAACCGGCCCCAGTGGCACCGCCCGCATGCGTCACGCACCACCCAGTACAGCGTTTCGTGGCCCCATAGGGAGCTCCACCATGTGTCACGCACCACCCAGTACAGCGTTTCGTGGTCCATAGGGAGCTCGAACGAAGGTCCCAGTGGGACCGCCCGCATGCGTCACGCACAGTACAGCGCTTTGTGGCCCCATAGGGAGCTCCACAGACAGCCCCAGTGGCACCGCCCGCATGCGTCACGCACCACCCAGCACAGCGTTTCGTGGCCCCATAGGGGGCCCCACCGACGGCCCCAATGAGATCGCCCGCATGCGCCCCGCACACCCAGTACATCGCTTCGTGGCCCCATAGGGAGCCCCACCGAAGGTCCCAGTGGGACCGCCCGCATGCGTCCCGCACGCCCAGTGCAGCGTTTCGTGGCCCCATACGGAGGACCACCGAAGGTCCCAGTGGGACCGCCCGCATGCGTCGCCCCCAGCCAGTCCAACGTTTCGTGGCCCCATAGGGAGCCCCACCGAAGGTTTCAGTGGGACAACCCTCATGCGTCACGCACACCCAGCACAGCGTTTCGTGGCCCCATGGGGAGCCCCACCGAAGGTCCCCATGGGACCGCCCGCATGCGTCTCCCCCGCCCAGTGCAGCGTTTCGTGGCCCCAAAGGGAGCCCCACCGATCCGTGGCCCATAGAGAGCTCCACCGAAGGCACCACTGGCAAAGTCCACATGCGTTTCCCCCATCCAGCACAACGTTTCGTGGCTCATAGGGAACTCCACCGAAGGCCCTAGTGGCAAAGTCCGCATGCGTCTCCCCACCCAGCACAGCGTTTCGTGGCCCATGGGGAGCGCCACCGAAGGCCCTAGTGGCAAAGTCCGCATGCGTCTCCCCCACCCAGCGCATCGTGGCCCATGGGGAGCTCCACCGAAGGCCCCAATGGCAACCGCATGCGCCTCCCCCACCCAGCACAACGTTTCGTGGCCCATAGGGAGCTCCACTGGAGGCCCCAGTGGCAAACTTCGCATGCGTCTCCCCCGCCCAGTGCAGCGCTTCGTGGCCCCATAGGGAGCTCCACCGAATACGATACCTATCATTGCGGCATTCACAACTACATCTGGTTGGGTTCTTCGCCAGGCGAATTTGTTTCCGACGCGACCATGCCTGGGTACCTCTGCCTCCCCTGAGCGGGTCGTGCCCGTCCGCTCGAAGCGCCCTCCTCCCCTCCTCCTTGGCGCGCGGCCTGCCGGCCGCTGCGGCAGGGCCCCGCTCGCGCGGCGGCTCGCGAGCCAGGGCGCTAGAAGTCAAGAACTCGTCCGGCGAGTGGGTCGTGCTCGTCCGCTGCTGCTGGGTTCGCGTGTCCCTCCACGGGATGAGTAGCCAAGAATGGTGAACAGATGGTCAGCCAACGCGCGCAATGTTCGACATCTCGACTGATCACGCGCGTGAGTGCGCGATGCTCAGTGCAAAAAAAAATGGTAGACAGATGGTCTGGTGACGACTGCTCGTGCTCTTTTTGGGCTACTACTTCTGATTATTGCTTGAGTTTCTAATTGTTATTTCAATCTTCGTATTTTTGTTGGTCATTGCTTGATTTTTGTGACTTGGATGATTTTTCCTACAAGAACCCGCCTGTGGGAGGACATGCCCGACGGAAGCCCGGCGGGGCGCGGCAGGGGCACGGCCGGAGCCACCCTGTTGCGCGGGGGAGGGGGGCCGATCTCGCCTTTGCGCGACGCGCTCCCTCGCGGCAGCCGCCCGCGGGCGCCGGATTTGTTTTATTTTGACGATTTGTCCGACAAAAATCCGCCCGTGGGAGGACGTGCCCGACCGAAGCCTGGCGGGGCCGGCGGGGACACGGCCCGAGGCCCCCTGTTGCGCGGGGGGGGGGGCCGATCTCGCCCTGCGTTGGGCGATGCGCTCCCTCGCGGCTGGCCGCCCACGGGTGCCTGAAGCAAACCCTGAGGCGCTCCAAACCCAGAGACGGGATCGCGTCGTAAAAGAAACAACCAGGACGGGAGGTTGGGGGCCGTTTTTTCGGCCTCCGGGTGCCCTCGCCGGGCCTCGGGAGCGTCAGAAGACGGTTCAGGACGAGAAACCGGTCCCGGGGAAAGGGTGGGGACTTCCAGGCACCCCGTTCTGAAAAAAGTCAGGGCGTCGCATGTCTGGGAAGAGGGCCCTGCCTTCGAGGATCGAAGGAGTTGTCATTTCTTCCTCGGCGGAAGGGCGGCGGAAGTAAAGCGAGGCCGCCTCCGCTGGCGGAAGCTCGGCGGAAGCCGTCGGGAGCCTTGAGACGGGGGTCGATGCAAACGGGGGTCAGCCAGGGCGCCCGATCTTGCATGATCCTGCAAGAACAGGGTCACATTGACAGGGGTTTAGGTGCAGGATCCTGCATCATTTTGCAGGATCCTTCGCGTTGACCCGAGTTTGGGTGCAGGATCTTGCAGGATTCTGCAAGGCCTGTCTGACCCGTGTTTGGATTGACCCAGGTCAGAAGATTCCCGAAGCCGGCGGAAGCGCAGAAGTCGGCCTCCCAAGAGGTGACAACATTTTTGGTTCAGGGTTTCCGGAATCGGCCAATGAAGCAACACTCACGCAGAGCACGTGCATGATTAGTCGCACCCCCCCCACCCCCCGAATGCAATGTTGATTTCGGATCTTCCGAGCCTGAGTGTCCGAGCGGTAGTGCTTCACCGTGTAGCTCCGAATTGCGGGAGGGGTGTGTGTTAGGCGGGGGCAGGGAGGGTGCTGCTTCACTTTATCCCTCAGCCGCCTCGTCCGCCTCCTCTTCCGCCACCCCCTGCTCCCTCCCCCGTGCACAGATCTTGGGACTGTGGCTCCGAGTGGATGCCCAGATTCCGATCGAGACACGCTGCGAGCCACTCGCCCGCCTTGCCGCTCGTTTCTGACATCGGTGTGGTCGATGGCTTGGCGATCGGCTCTCGACTGTCGAAGAGGAAGAAGCGCCATAAACATAATCTTTTGGCGCCTGGGCGCCCCCGGCGGCGCCTCCGGCGCCGCCCCTGGCGCGCTCCGCGCGCCAGAGAGGGGGGCCCAGCGCAGATCCAAGAAATCCGCGCGGAGCGCCAAACGTTTATGTTTCTGCCGCTTCTTTCTTCTTCTACAACCTGAAGCCCCGTCAGTTGTTCTCATGCTCCTCCTCCTCCTCCTCCTTCTCTTCCTCCTCCATCCTCTCGTCCCTTCCATCCTTCCCGTCCAGGGTCCAGGATGTTGCACGACATGGAGATGGTTGCGATGCCCCTGCAAAAGGCTGTTGGCGACTTGGCATCACACGCGCGCTTGCATGGAAGCAGGGCCGACGACGGCCAATAAAGCAGAACGCGCAGTATGGCTTCGCCCTGTCACTACACTGCGCGCCCAGACGATACGGTGGTGGCGTTCGTTCAGGGTTTTGCCCAGGAGGCTTCAGACCCTGGAGGGTTCCTCATTTGATGAGGGCGGTGGTGATAACCATGGCCAATCCAAGATTGGAGTTCCGCCACCTTCCAGG